ATTGCCCATGCCACCGCAGCCATACTGCTATTTTTAGTGCACTAGCTCAAGCAGAGCTAGCACGTGTCTGTGTAGTAGCCACTCTGGTCAGCATTCTTCCATCTGCTGTGTAGACATATCCTAAAATGCACTACCCCTGAGCACAAACACAGAGGCAAATTTCCTTCAAAACATACACACACCAAACCCCCATGCAAAGGCAGATTTCCAAAAATCACTTGCCTCCACCCACCACACACAGAGGCGAGCTCTCAAAACAAAGCAACCAAAAAATTCACCACTACACCCCTTCACCATGCCCTTAGAAACATGGGCAAAGGCTCCACATAGCTTATTTTCCACTGTATTTCTCTTCCACACAACTGTACCTCCAGCTTACAAAGAGCTACTGAAGGGAGCAGTCAGCCACCTAAGCCAACTGCTGCTGGAGAGATAAAGTTGCCCCATGCCCTGCAGGAGCCCACAGCAGCCTCTGTCACCAGTACAGAGGAGAAGATGAGTCATATTTAACAGATGATGCTGTAGGGACTGGATGGAGGTTTCTTGTGACACCTCAGTTTAGACAGTTGAGACACAAAGACCATTTTTTGCTATTATGATTTGCCTTTGTCTTTCCCCTGGATAATTTTACTGTAGAATTACCAGCCAGTTTCAGTAAGGCAGTAATGTCTTGGCTAACAGCGCATCACAAACTAACCAAGATTTATTAATTATGGTTCTGACATTAAAGAGTACGATCTTCAAATTACAATAATCTAATTTTATAGCTGCACTGCTTAATGGACCCACAGCAAGATAGGCAGAGTTCCCAGACTGCTAAGCATCTCCTCTTAACCAGTTTCATCTGTCAGTGCCTCTCAACGATATTCCTATTTGTGTCTCTGGAGAAAAATTTGTAATCAAAAACAAGACGCAAACTACAACAACCTTCTAACCTGATGTGACTGATTTTGTTAATGGACTTCTATTTTTCCACTCTCAAAGTGCAAATTCATGTTATTAATTTCAATAAAAATGATTTAAAATGACAACTATATCTGTTTTGCTAAGCAAGGCATCCTGAAAGTTCATAAGGAAACAAGTACGTCTCATTGGGTCAAATCCTAGAGATTCTGAAAGCCAACATCTTCCACTGAAGTCAACAGGAATCGTGGGTGCTCAGCACCTCTTCGGAACAGGTCCAATTGAATTGAAAATAATCATTTTAATTATAAAGAGTATATTTGTGCCAGTGTGAGAGTCAGTGGAAGAGACTTGAAAAGAATGTCTTACATCTGGTTTAATACAGTTATACCTATCAATTGAGTTCAGCTGCAGTTCTTTTGTTAACTGTTCTGATCTAAACTTTGAAGCCAACAGCAGGGCATTTCTGATGACCCCAGAATCAGCTGGTTTTATTGGTTTGCCAGAGCCTGAGTTTATTGATCCTCAGATCAGGGTGCATGGCCTATCTGTTCATCGGGCCTTAGCCCAAATACACCTTTCCATGCTCGTGTCTACTGACTTCAGTGGGAGATACAGGCTCTCAGGATCTCTAGGATTTGGCCCAACAAGAAGTGCTTATTCTCTTAGCACTTTCAGAAAGCTGCACTTAGCAAAATGGATATACTTATTTTTGTAATTAACAGTGCCTGAAAACGGCTATTTTGGAGTTGGTTGGAGACGGTATTTTCAATTTTTCCTCTTTATGATGCTGGTTTGTAATTAATTTGGCAAGTGTCTCTTTTCTCTTAATTGTTATCAGGATGCTTGTGTTTTTTAATTAACTGTTTTTTTTAAAAGATGCAAATGGATCCAGAGGCTTGAGAAATGGGCCATTTTAGAAGTATGGAAATTAAGGAACAATTAAATGAACTTCTGTGTTTTAAAAATTAAACATATTTTTTAAAATATCACACATTAAACCTTTTCCAATTGCTAAACCAGCAGAATGGAAACTGGCTTGCAACCCGTAACAATCTGACCCTATGTTGCTAGGGTCACGAATGACCTCACTTTCTGCAAGATCCCAGTCATCAGTGGGTGGCTCAAAGAATGCAAATAATAATATGCTCATATATATTTCACATTTCATTCAAAAATGCTTCTTTTGTGACCTTTTAATATGCTGGACAAAATCTGTTCTGTATTCCTTTAAAAATATCAATGTCTTTGCACAATAATAATGAAATGATTAAGACATGCCTGATGTTGAAGGAAGCATCCTATATAGAGAATTTATATTCACAAATAGCCATTTTATATAGGTTACATAGAAATGTTTTTTGCAGAAGAGATCTGATTAGTCTTATATATTTCACGTTTCATTCAAAAATGCTTCTTTTGTGACCTTTTAATATGCTGGACAAAATCTGTTCTGTATTCCTTTAAAAATACCAAATTAATAGCATACTGCATCACTCTCTTGACATATGTTTTGTTACACAGACTCCCAACAAGAATGCAAACAGCAGTGACAACTGAGACGATTTGGGCAAGGTACTCAATGTCTTTGCACAATAATAATGAAATGATTAACAGAAGACATGCCTGATGTTGAAGGAAGCATCCTATATAGAGAATTTATATTCACAAATAGCCATTTTATGTAGGTTACATAGAAATGCTTTTTGCAGAAGAGATCTGATTAGTCTTCTTATTTATAAATGGTACAAAACATTCCTAAATGGGACTGGTAATATTCTGATCTCTCTCAGTAGTTATAAAAAGGAGACCAACACCAAGAAAACTGGGCAAAAATCTTTGTTTTCATTTTGCTGTTTTTTGTTGTTGTTTTTTTGAATGAGGAGTTTGTTTGCTTTTTTTTAAGACCAGAATTCTCTCGAGACGAATTATGCTAAAAACCTCAAAGTTGAAGATGACTTCCAAGCCTTAAACAAAACTTTGAGATTTTCATCTGAGCAACAGCAACATGTCCCCTACACAATCTCTAGGATGCTTGAGCTATTTAAAAGACAAACTTGAGTCAAAGAACATACACAATCTTACACTGCACATTAATTCCATCTATAAAAGGGAGTTTTGGATTTTTCACCAATTTGCATCAGCACATCCTGCACATGTAAACTGCAGCTCCTGAATCTCAGCAAAAGTACTCAGACAGCTGAAATATAAGAACTCTTGCCTTACTTTTTCCAAGTGCTTACCCAACATACTAATGATATGCCATGGAACAGTGATTGATCTTGCACCACATTAGTTAAGTCTACAATATGTTAAATACATAAGGGAGCCTAATTTCATCACATCCAGGAGAATTGGCTCACAATCTATGTTAGCAGGTGGTCAGCACTTTAGATACTGTAGTGACAGATGCGATTAGAAATACCTTGGGCAAATTATACAGACAGCATCAGTGCATTTTCTGGGCCAAGTAATAGCAGTTAGATCACGCAGTGAAAGAAAGTCTGATTTCAATTTTATCTCTGTAAATGCAGAGAAATCCCATTGACTTTAAACATATTAGGAGTCAATGGGTTTAAACTGGATTTACACCAGCAAAGATTAGAATCTGGCCCTCTGACCAGGAAGGAAGAAAGGGTGGTATGTACCAATTAACACAGAATAGTACATAGATCAATATATTCACAAAGAGAGATTAAGCACAAAGTATATTTTTAGCACCATTTGTTTGAAAATACAACTGTGAAAAAACAAACAATCTAAATAATAATAATTCAGTTATTATTTATATCATGGCAGTGACCAGTCTGTGCTAGGCATTTCCAGAGAGACCTTACCTTGCCCCACAGATCTCACAACCCAAGACAGCAAAGAAAGGCAAATCTGGATATAAGGGGTAAAATATTCCCATGTTTTATTTGCCGATTTTTAAAATACATATTAATTATCCTCCCCTGGCTCTGTAGCTAGCCATTGTCAGTTGGCTAATTTCTATAGGCATCATGTTAGAAGTGGGTCTCGGGGTAGGGGTTTTGAAGAGGGGAAGGAAGTGTTCTTAAGAACCAAGAGGATGTTCTGTGTGTAAGATGGGGTATGGAAGGAGGAGTGGAGACAGCTGTGGAAGAAGCAGATTATGATTTGAAAATACTGGCATCAGTCACCGTGGAGAGGCACTGAGCAAGACAACTGAAGACAAAAGTGGATAAGTAGAGAGGGGATAGTTGTGAAGGGCCTTGATGGGGAGGACAAGAAGCATGAAATGGATGGGTTGGAAAATGGGGAGCCAATGGAGGGCTTCAGAGAGAGCTGTCTATCTAATCTAATCACCAGGTTGAAAGGAATTTGAAACTGGGCTGCACTTCAACAGAAGTCTGAGTGAGATCTGAAAACATCACAGCCACCACCCCCTCAACCACACTTGTTCTCATTATATGAGTCAGCTGTGCTTGGAGTGTATCACAAAGAACCATCTCAATTGCCCTCCCCAAAATCCTATGCACAGTGGTGTGAGTGTAATGAACAGCAATCGGTTACACTGAAGGCAACAGTGCTGCAAAAATGTTGTCGGTCTTGCTCAAAAGTGTCCAGGGGAGAGGGATATGCAGATCTAGCAGCTGTGTCCTATTCTCTCAACTTTCACAGGTATGGGCTCAGATTGGCCAACGCACTGACTCTCAAAGCCAAGAGTCACATCTTCACAGCATAAAATTTAGCTTCCAGAAGGGTCTCCAAGAGAAGCAACATTAAAATAGTTACAGTCAACATAATGCAGATTGGTACAGTGCAGAATTATGAGAAACTGACAATAGTGTCAATGGCAAAACTGCAAAATGCCAATGATGATGACCAAAGAGAATAATCTATTTCAGAACAACATTATGGCTCTCTCATATTCATTCTGCCTGTGTATGAGGGGTAAGAGAAAGCTGCAGGAGTTCTTATTCTGCTTTATTTCCTCAGAGTTAACAAACCAACCTTAATGTCATAGAATAAAGAGCATAGCACACTGGGAATGTCTTTTTTATTAAGCATCATTATATAAACACATTGATGTCCTCACCCGCCCCAAAAGAGAAGTTTTGTTTGTTACCTCTTACCGACAGTTATTTTGACAATTCTTTTCTGAGAGTCCATCCTCATCTTCTCCCATTATATCCACTGCAGAAAATATCAGTGCAACCAGAATCGCAAAGCAGCACACCAGTGCAAAGATCACAATGCATTTTTGCTGGGACTGAAAAAGAATAAGAAGATTAAAATATATATATACATATATTTAAAAAGTTTCATGGAGTGGGCATCGTTTAGTCAATGAACAGAGATTCTAACACTTTTCAATAGGATCTAAAACCATTTTGAATATACTCCTCACATAACTGTCAACATGAAACACATTTTGGGATGAAAATATTCTTTCAAAACCATCCTTTAGTATCATCTTCAAGTTTACATTAAATGTAGAAGTTATTGTTAAATAATTCATGTCACAAACAACATTAGGATTATAGAACTAGTTTTCATTTATATCATGATGAATGTATTATCCAATAAAATAGCCATTCCTGCATTAATTACATATTTCTGATTAGGCACCATAGATCTGATATATATGACAGTTTGGCATTGCAAAAGTCTTGAGAGCTTTTCTTTGTTTACTTGAAAACAAACATGTCACCACAAGAAGGCTGAAGAGCAAAATGGATAGTTGACATGAAAATTAGTGCTGCCAATTAATTGCAGTTAACTCAAATGATTAACTCAAAACAATTTAACTAGATTTTAAAAACTTAATCGTGATTAATCATAGTTTTAATCACACTATTAAACAATAATAGAATAATAGAAGGTTAACTGAAATGTATTATAAATATTTTTGTCTTTTTTGCCACATTTTCAAATATATTCATTTAAATTACAACACAGAATACAAAGTGCACAGTGCTCACTTTATATTATTATTTTTTATTACAAATATTTGCACTGTAAAAAAGAAATCATATTTTTTTCATTTCACCTCATACAAATACACCTCTACCCCAATATAACATGAATTCGGATATAGCGCGTTAAAGCAGCACTCTGGGGGGGCGGGGCTGCGCACTCCGGCAGATCAAAGCAAGTTCAATATAACACGGTTTCACCTATAACGCGATACGATTTTTTGGCTCCCAAGGACAGTGTTATATCAGGGTAGAGGTGTATTGTAGTGCACTCTCTTTATCATGAAATGGAACTTACAAATGTAGGGTTTTTTTTTTACATAACTGCACTCAAAAACAAAACAATGTAAAATTTTAGAGCCTACAAGTCCACTCAGTCCTACTTCTGATTCAGCCAACCACTAAGACAAACAAGTTTGTTTACATTTACAGGAGATAATGCTGTCTGCTTCTTATTTACAATGTCACCTGAAAGTGAGAACAGGCATCCACATGGCATTTTTGTAGCCAGCATTGTAACGTATTTACATGCCAGATATGCTAAACATTTGTATGCCCGTTCATGCTTCTGCCACCATTCCAGAGGACATGCTCCCGTCCTGATGAAACTCGTTTAAAAAATGAAACAGTAATTAAATTTGTTACTGAACTCCTTGTGGGAGAATTGTATGTCTCCTACTCTGTGGTTTTACCCACTTTCTGCCATATATTTCGTGTTATGGCAGTCTCAGATGACGACCCAGCATATGTTGTTTGATTTAAGAACACTTTCACTACATATTTGACAAAAAGCAAATAAGATACCAATGTGAGAATTCTAAAGATAGCTACAAGACTCGACCTAAGGTTTAAGAATCTGAAGTGCCTTCCAAAATCTGAGAGGGATGAGGTGTGAAACATGCTGTCAGAAGTCTTAAAAAAGCAACACTCCAATGCAGTAGGGTGAACAGATGTGCTGTTTTTAAAGGGACAGTCCCATATTTAAGCCCTCCTACAGGTGTCCAACTTTTTCTTTAAAATGGGCAAAGTGTCCCATATTTTCTGTCTCCTCCCACCATCAGTACTGGCAGGTCCTGATGCTGGCTGGATCCCTGTTCGCCAGTTTCCCGCCAACCAGCAGTAAGTGTGGGGGGGGGGTCCAGTGGCCGACAATGGGAACGGGTATGAAAGGCTGGTGGCGGGGCGAAGATGGAGTGCATGGGGCAGGCCGTTCCCCCTGCTGGTCCATCAGTGCAGACCCTGCTGCGTGCTGGCTCTTGGCCAGCAGGGGCCCACCCCCCTGCGCCATTTCCGGCTGGCACTGGCAGCGCGCTGCGGTGGCTGGTGAGTGTGGGCAGGCACCAGGCAGCAGCCAGTTGTGTGTCACCTTTGCTACCTGCCCATTGGCCCTTTACGTGCCCCCCCTTCTCGCTGTCCTCTCTCTGCTTTGCCCCTTCAACCCCCCCTACCCCACTGCTCCTCCATATCCCCCCCAGCAAGGCGTATCTCGCTCCCAGCCCTGTGTGGAGAACCAGCCCTGGTCGGAGCATTCAGATCACCAACAGCCTGGCTGGCAGACTCCTTCCTTCCCACACTGCCTCTGGCTGGGCCAGGGCCCTGGGAAAGTCCAAGACCCTCAGGCCTGGGGTGCTGACCAGGAGAAGGAAAGCCCTGCATGTGCCAAAGCCCTGTACAGCGCTGGCATGGAGACGCCTCTCTGCCCATCTGCTAAGCTCTGGAGTGGCAGGGGGGAGAAGTGATTTAGCCCCATCTTCACCTGACCCCTCACCACCCTGGGTCCTGTCCCCAGGGAGTGCAGGGCTGCTCCGTCCCCTAGGCAGCCTCCTCTGCTGAGCCACATCTCTGGCCAGGTTCGCTGAAGCCCCTGCAGTCAGGTTCCCTGGGCCCTGGTGCACAATGAATCCTTAGAGCTTAACCCTTGCTGCCCACACTGTAGCCAGGGGACAGGAGGAGGCTGGGTTACTGGGTTATGTTGGTGGCCAGCAGCAGCCTGGAGGTGTTAGCTGCCTTTCGACACTCTGCGGGCAGGAAGGGACAAGCTGCTTCCAGGTACATGGGAAAGGGGGGAGAAGATAGCAACTTTACAAAGACACAGGCCAGGTCATTCCTTCCCCCCAACAATCTGGTCTGAACCCTAGCAGAAATCTTGGGAGAGGGGCACGTGACCCTGCGGGCCCCCCATGTGTTGCCTCTGGAAGATGTGGCGCCAGGTACCAGGAAAGGCAGGTCTGCCTCGATGGTCCAGCCCAGCATGAAGGGTGGAGAGCACTGGGCAGGGAGGGTCAGATAGGTCACACACACACACACACACACACACCCCTCTCATGTGAGAGAGGTGTACGGGAGAGAGAGAGAGAGAGAAAGAGAGAGGGAGGGGGTGACCTCTCCCCATCTTTGGGGCGGGGTGTAGGCGTGTGTCACCCCTCCCCATGTGAACCCTAAAGCCTTAAAGATAAAAAGGTAAATAAAAAGAATCCAATTACACACTATTTCTTTCTAACAGGGGCTCAGTCAACTTGATGTTAATTTGAATGTTTGTACTACATAATTCTGATTGATTGCCATTGAACTCGTTAGAACAGGGGTAGGCAACCTATGGCACGAGTGCCGAAGGCGGCACGCGAGCTGATTTTCAGTGGCACTCACACTGCCCGGGTCCTGGCCACTGGTCCAGGGGCTCTGCATTTTAATTTAATTTAAAATGAAGCTTCTTAAACATTTTATAAACGTTATTTACTTTGCATACAACAATAAGTTTGTTATATATTATAGACTTATAGAAAGAGACCTTCTAAAAACGTTAAAATATATTACTGGCACGCGAAACCTTAAATTAGAGTGAATAAATGAAGACTCGGCACACCACTTCTGAAAGGTTGCCGACCCCTGCGCTAGAACAAGAGTAATTTTACCAGGTGTCCCATATTCAGCATAGGAAAATATGGTCATTCTACAATGCAGAAACTATAGAACCTGAACCACCAAAAAAGAAAATCAACCTTCTGTTGGTGGCATCTGACTCAGATGATGAAAATGAACATGCATCAGTTCGCACTGCTTTGGATCATTATTGAGCAGAACCTGTCATCAGCATGGATGCCTGTCCTCTCAAATGGTGGCCAAAGCATGAAGGGACATATGACTCTTTAGCACATCTGTCACATAGATATCTTGCGACGTCAGCTACAACAGTGGCATGTGAATGCCTGTTCTCACTTTCAGGTGACATTGTAAATAAGAAGCAGGCAGCATTAAATGTAAACAAACTTGTTTGTCTTAGTGATTGGCTGAACAAGAAGTAGGACTGAGTGGGCTTGTAGGCTCTAAAGTTTTACATTGTTTTGTTTTTGAGTGCAGTTATGTTAAAAAAATTCTACATTTGTAAGTTGCATTTCATGATAAAGAGATTGCACTACAGTACTTCTGTGAGGTGAAATGAAAATACTATTTCTTTTATCTTTTTTACAGTGCAAATATTTGTAATAAAAATAATCATATAAAGTGAGCACTGTACACTTTGTATTCTGTGTGGTAATTTAAATCAATATATTTGAAAATGTAGAGAACATCCAAAAATATTTAAATAAATGTTATTCTATTATTGTTTAACCGTGCAATTAAAATGGCAATTAATCGTGATTTCTTTGTAATCTCATGATTACTTTTTTTAGTAGTTTGGCAGCCCTAATTAAAATGTTGAAGTGTATTTCCTTAAGCTTAGAGTAAAAAATACTGTGGCAGTAACTCAGATACGACTGTTCAGTAACTATGGGTAAATGTGAACTTTTTAAAGGTTACCTATGAACATGTGTTGTACACAGATTAATGAAGTGTGTAAATTATCTTATTTGCACAAATGAATTGTGCAGGTATGTGCGATATGTGGATATCACTACCCTTAAAGCTTCACCATGTATTCCTAGCAGTAAAAGAATTGCACAACATAGAGAGAAAAAGAAAACAAAACTAAACTGCTGCTGCTAGTTACTGATTTTGTTAATTTTCAGTTATTACCTTGTAACTGTAATTTCTTACCTAGAAAATACCCAAACCAGAATTTATTATATCAAGCAATCTGAGTAGTAATCTCATATTTGCAACTGAACAAGCTGTGGCACAAGTCTAAAGGTAGTACATTCTCTCTCCATAGTCAGTCATTTATATTAATAAAAGTAATACAACAACCACCACAACCAAGGACAATATTGGGCCCACAGTGTTAAGCAACACACATTTTAAACATCATTAACACTGGGCAATTTCATAAATTTAAAGTCTATGTTTTATATTATAA